CAGACTGAGCCTGTGGGCCATATTTTGCCCATCCCTACGTCAGGGTGAGTTAAAAATTTTTAAAAAACAGTTTGGCTGAATTAGTGTATAGTTGCTATAAATACTGCTTAAGACAACTATACTTTTAAAAAAACTTTAAAAAAATCTTTAGCTGCAAAGAATGATTTGAAAACACTTTTTCTTCTACTCCAAACAGTCAGTTTCTTATGTTGTGTATATGGGTCTTTTTTACCCAGTATGGAGAGAAAAAACATTTAAAAAATAAGAAGGTCACTGTAAAACCACAAGTGTTGAATCGAAGGCAGGTGCAGTACCTGAAGCTAATTTTGATATTTTCTCTCTCTCTCTTTTTTTTTTAACTGGCTTTTAGTGGACGGAGTCTCTTTTAAATGTTTCAGTTTTTGCTAAGTTTAACTCATATTTTCACAATCTTTTTTAGATTTCTGCCTGGACTTCCTTTTTTAACATGTTCTAAATATAATCTTCTTTCTCCAATAATTTTTTTGCATTGTGTATGCCTTGTACATGTACATGTATGTGTATGTGTGTGTTGCTGCAAGGTTACTGCTGTTTTGAATTTTCAGAGGAGTCCTTTTACTCGGCTTAGGACCAGCCAGTTGCATAATATTAGCCACGTGTAAACTGTGAAATAGAATACAATAGAGCCCTCTGAATTAGTCATTTCTGAACCCATCCTAATTTGCCAGTAGGTTAGGACATGTTGTCTTTCATTTTTTTTTTTCTTTTAGTGGTGCTGGCCTTGACATTCCCTTACTTTTTACACACCCATGTCCTTTCTTCCATTTTCCTACCTGCAAGTGTAACTCATCTGAAAACCAGTGTACCTTTTGCATTTATATTCCTCCTAGAAAACCAGACAAAACTGCCTGTTTGTGATCCACTTGTGAAGATAACCCGCATTCATTGCAAAAACTTCTATGCTGGAAATGGTGGTTGTGACCTGAGCATGTGAAGTGTACCCCTTCCTTTTTTTTTCTCTCTCCATTCAAGCTTTGTTTTCACAGCAGGAAATGTCTTTGTTTTGTTTTTCTGGGTGATAGACTTATTTAAGAACTGCTGATACCTCCTGGAAGTCCTTGAACATTTTCTGGATCTGTTTCTGTCCTCAGATAGAGTTGTGTAACTTTTGTTAGTGGTGGAGTAGGGGTTGAACATGCATATCTGATACAGATTTGCCCACTTAATTGGGAAGTTTTGCTTATATGACTTATATTTATGTTTTTACTAGTGACACTTTGAACAAAAGAATGACACATGCTGTTTTCAAACTGAACTACTCCTACTGTTGATTTCTTGATTAAAGTCTTCATTTACTTTCTGTTTTCACATTCGTCTTTACAACAACCAGTTGTGATATTGCTGAAATTGAAGACTTTGAATAAAATCATTAGGGACAGATGAAACTAGGAGCAACAAAGGGTGTGTACAGAAGTTGCTTTTTTGCCATTTAAAGCGCTTTATTTCCATGACTTAACAGAAGTGCACAGCACTGTAAAAATGGGTACAGTGCTTTAAATTAACCCTTGTTAAATGAGGTATTAAATTTGAAGCATTGTATTTTACAGCATTTCAGCAACCTACAGTGCTTTAAATAACTTCTGTACACCAAATACTGCACTTCTGTCATGTTTAAGAGTGCTGTAATTTTATAATGCTATAAAAATGCTCTAAATTACAGCATTGTAAAATGTGCATGGAGCACTTCTGTACACACTCAGAGATTGTTATCCTGCAGACATCCTTTTTCTTTTTTAAAGAAATTGTAGAAGAAACTAAGCTGGCTTTAAATATAGTGTTTTAAAGACTTGCCTAGGATTTTAAAGGATCATCATAATTAACAAAGGCTAGTAAGACTACTTTGTGTTGATAGATATTTATTTGCTTGCTTTCTTTAAAAGGATGTGGGATAAAAAATAAACTTCTAAAAATGTGTTGCAGGCCACTAGTTTTATAAAAAAAACCCTGTTCTGTTCAAATTTTAAATTGGACTGACTAGTGTTGATTTTTGGATATCTTGTGTTGCAAGTTGTAGACATTACAAAGGGCTTGTTTAAATACAACCCAATAATTTAAAGCTTTAAGTTTTCTTTTAAAAATTTGTGAGGGAAATCATAATATAAAATAGGGTTATCTTTTTTCCCGTATAGAGCCTAGGGGCTGAATGCAACGGTAGCAGAGTTCATGTGATTGCTAGGAACGGATTTTTTTTTTAAGTACGACTAGCCAGACGATGCATGATTCAGAACATTGATCTTGGTGGGAAGTCATCCAGAGTAGTCATGGAAATTGATAGCAATAGGCATGTGGAGTTATGATTGTTAGTACAATTTTGACTGTCATATGGACATAGTCTGCAGACTGTATAATATGGATGTGAAATAGAAGCCATCTAGTATCATGCAATTGAGTTCTTAGCATATTAATTATAGTAACAGGGAACTTTTCTGAAGAATATTGTATATCTATTGATTTCTAAGTTTTTAAGTTATTATAATTGTGGCAGTTGTATGGATTTATGTATACCCCACATAATGTAGAATTTATTTTTGTCTGATTGAGGGCCAGTCAACATGTGAAATTCCTGTCTACTAACCTGAAAAAAGTTTCAAATTATTGACCTTAAGTTCTAGTTTTTTGTATGACCTTAAGATAAACATTGCAGTTATGACCAATTTTTCCAGGTATTTGAAAAGGGTGGGATTATAGAGAGACTGAGTCTGAACCAGCAGGGGTTTTTGTGTGCTTTTGGTGGTTTGGTTTATGTTTGGATTTCCAAGAGTTTAGTGTGAATTGAACACTTCTCTTGCATTTTATAATCTTATGTGATTGGCTGTAAGGCATCAAGAGCTACAGCTAAATATATGGCCCTTTGTTTTTAGAAATTTAAATAAAATCATGAACATTATGTAATTTTAGCAAAGTTATAATTTCTGAAGTGACTCGAGGTTGGAATAATAAGGATTTTACAGGTCAAGGCTAATGTGTGTTTGGCATAAATGCCTGATGAGTCTTAAATGGCAATTAGTTTTACTTTAGAGCATTAATTATCCAAATATAGGATGTGCCACGAACTGCTTGGTATGTGGTTCAAGTAAAAGTAGTGGTGAATAAAAGAAAGAACTATTTTAAAGACCAGGAAAAAAATTGAATAATCAACAAACTGAAAAAGGCAAATTTGTTACCAAACTTGCTTTAGACAATGGTGTCAGAGTTGTTTGTTTATTATATGTTTTGTAATCAAACAATTTGACCTTATGAATGGTTTTTGATCCCACCTAGCTTAGATAATTAATCCTCCTGTATGTAAAATGTGGTTCTTATTTAGAACTGTTTGTGTCTCATCCCATCTAACTGATCAAAAACCACCACCACCAACTGAACCTAGCTTGGCTGAATGGTCACAATATAAAACAATGCTATCCACCTTGTGGACTGTGTGCAGCTTTGGAGGTTTTGCTTTGCAGCCCCCAGACTCGCACCTGGCCTTCTCATGACTCTGGCTGCAGCAGCTGGGGTCTGAGTTCCATCCCCTTCCTTTAGCTTCTGCTTCCTGCCCCTTAGCCAGTGCCGGGGGTAGGCATGGGGGGGGCATAGCACAGTCTGTGGGGCTGGGGGAACTGCTCAGTGGCATGGGACACCTGCATGGTACAGTTCAGTTGGGGAGCTGGGAGTGGGGGCAAACATGTTTGTGAGGCATGATGCAGTGAGGGAGGGGATAGGGGTTGTGTGACATGGGGCAGCAGGTTCTAAATAAGAGCTACAAACAGTTCTAAATAAGAGCCACATTTTACATACATGGTGTGTGGCCTTGGGGGCCATGGTCCCTGCTGGCATATACCCGGTGACATGCAATCTCTGGCTGCTTAGAAGTTGGGCAGCCCTGACCTGAAATTTAACCTTTTTGAATGACCTCTGCAAATTAAATAATGGAAAATGTAACACTGAGGATTTTACATAGTTAGCTAACAGGCATTTGGTTAATGACATATATTTTGTGACTTGTTTTCTTTTGCTTGGAATTCACGTGGGGAATGCTCTTAGTCTAACTGTTGTCCAGTAATTTTAAAGTTCTTCTGTAGAAGAAGAGTGTCTTTATCTCAGCAGATGTTTTTTGTATCTCCTTCTGCTGGAGTAAGGGCGAGCTGCTTTGTGCATGAATAATACGTCTGTGAGATTCCGTAGTGGTCCAGGGGTGAAGAGGCTTCAAGAGAAAGTGGCAAATATTTTTCCACTGTCCTTTCTTCTCCAGTCCCTTGCATGTTTGATGGGTGGCAGTTAGGGAAGTGTACATATTTAGAATTCTGATACAAATCTCAGAATTTTGCAGGAAATACAATGTTCCATGGGAAAAAAAGAGCTAGACCATTGTATGCCCAATTCCTGACACCTTTGAAGCAGGGGGCAATATGTTTTTAAGAATTTTCTATACCTGTGATAAGAATGGGTAAATGGTGCATGGTGACATAGGCTAATTAAGCTGCACACTTTATGTGAAGCCACAGATGTTCATGAAAGATTTTTAAGCAAGCAGAGCGTGAAGAGCTGACGCCACATATTGTTGAAGTGATACAGCTAACAAAGTTAAATGTTGTGACTGAGTAATAGTGTTTGTGTGCCGTGCCTTGCTTATTAACGAACTTTGTTTGATTGGTGCTAATGATTGAGAAGAATGTGTTCATGGTAATATTTTAAAAGCTCTAGTTTAATATTTCTCCATTCTTCTAGAAGAATGACTTACTAAAATTAAACTGCATGGTACTGTTTTAAGTATTGCTTCTGTATATTAGATAAAGGCTATCTGGAAAAGCAAAACAGGCTTTGATTTGGCACCGTTTTACTCAGACAAGTAGTTCTGCTGGTCTCAGTTGGCTATGTAATGTGTGTGAGGTAAGATTTCAGGTGCAGCAGAATTAAGCCTAATATATTTTTATTAAACTATATTAACTTAAAAAATAATAATGGAGCTTTATTGAATTTTAGGATCACAGAACAATGATGCCAAAAGACAATTTCTTCTAGAGCGGTTACTGGATGCAGTTAAGCAGGTAAGAAATGAAAACAACAATGATACGTCTGCCTGAATTTTGAAAGCTTTTTTTTTTTTTCAGTATAAATGCTGAGTTGGCCACTCCTGCAAGATGGATCATTGTCTTTTCCTCTCCTCTGCAACAAATACAAGGCGGTTGAGGGGAAAGAGACTCAAC